TTGTTTGGTGCTTGCGAAAGCATGTGCCAGCGCACCGCCGCATCAAGCCTCGACCCTGAAAGCCCCACCAGCTGAGTTGGGTTTAGGGTCTAGGGTTTAGGGATTGACGCTCGACCTTCACTCGTAAAACGAAGGGCGCCCAAAAACCCAAAAACCTTAACCCTAACCGTAAACCCTACACCCTAAAATCCTAAACATACCTAAACCCTAAGCCCCAAACACATAAAACTAAGAGCTCTCAGCCCTAAGGTTCCCTAACACCTGCAAGTGTGCTTGGAGGTTCATGGCGCTTATTAACCAACTATAGCTGTACAGGGTTTAGGGCTTAGGGTTTAGGGTTTAGGGTTTAGGGTTTAGGATAACTGTACTTATAACCACATTAGGGCACTAAAGGGGCTTAGAAGTTGCTTATAAGTACAGTCATAATTGGAAAATAAGTACCCCTAAACCCTAAACCCTAAACCCTAAACCCTTAACCCTCAACCTCTAAGTACAGTTCTAATTGGTTAACACGTACCATAACCTGCAAGCATGCGGCCTGGGAGGTTTGGGACCCCGCTCTGGACTGCTGGCTTTCAGCCTTCTCTCGCTCCTCAGCTAGGGTTTAGGGTTTAGGGTTTAGGGCTTAGGGCTTAGGGTTTAGGGTGTAGGGTTTAGGGTTTAGGGAGTTTGGGGTTAGGCCATTGAGGATGTGGTCAGTTCTCCACATTGCGGTCCCCAGTTTGGGTACCTGAATAACGGTGCGGTTGCTCTGTGCGTGTTCCGAAGCATGGAGAGGTCTTTTCAAGCTCTAGTACAGGCAACCATGGGCCCTATGTAGCCTCTGGAAAACATACCCTAAACCCTAAACCCTAAACCCTAAACCCAATACCCAAGACCCAAAACCCCAAACCCCAAACCCCAAACCCCAAACCCCAAACCCTAAACCCTAAACCCTAAACCTGCGTTCACTACAGCTGGGTGGATTATCGGACTCGCCGAGCGAACTCATCGAGTCATGGGAGGCAAGCCCTATGGAAGCTTAGTGGCTGTTGCTCCGGTTCTAGGAACTACAATCCTATGGACCGTCAAGTTCAAATGGCTTTAGGGTTTAGGCTTTAGGGTTAGGGTTTAGGGTTTAGGGTTTAGGGTTTAGGGTTTAGGGTTTAGGGTTTCACCTAGCCAAGCTCTTACGGCAAAGCCGGGAAGGCTTAGCTCGAGTTGGGAGTTGGGGTTTTGGGTGTACTGTAGGGTTTGGGATGTTAGGGACCACTAAGAAAATTTGTTTTAAATATGATCCTCTTGGGTCTTATATAAACAAAAAAAGAAAAGTAACTCCCGGGTGACCAGCATACGCGCAGGAAACTGAATTGTGTTCACAGCTCTTTTTGGGTCCTCTCCGTTATAACACAGCACCCTACATATCCAGGCAGGGCAGCCCATTCCCCTCTCTGCAAGTTCTTAAAAATTCTAGAAACCCCTGGAAGCCCTCAACCTGATAAACCCTAAACCCTAGGCCCTAAAACCTATACACCCTAAACCCTTTTGTGAACCCTTTTTTGCATGCAGGCCTCTAACATGTGATCCCTAAACCCTGAAACCTAAACCCTGAACCCTAAGCCCTAAACCCTTTTTGGACCCTAAACCCTAAACCCTCAATCCTCAGCCCAACTAAAACTCGCTGTCAGTGTTCCGCGTGCGCCAGGAAGAGCGAGAAGAACGGTGCTGATTGTATTGCAATGACCTCAAACCCAGCACGAAACCCTAAATCCTCATCCGGAGTTTGGAGATGTAGTGTTTGGGGACTCAACCCTAAACCCTAAACTTCCCTAAACCCTAAACCCTAAACCCTAAACCCTAAACCCTAAACCCTAAACCCTAAACCCTAAACCCTAAACCCGCCTCTTTCAGGGGGGGGGAGGGGGGAGGATGGAGTTTTCAGGGCTGGGGGAGGGGGGCCTAAGCCCTAATTTCCGGGAAGCCCTGAAACAGGCACAGCATCCCTAAGCCCAAAATTGGGTTTAGGGTTTAGGGTTTAGGGTTTAGGGTTTAGGGTTTAGGGTTTAGGGCTGAGGGTTTAGGCTTTAGGCTTTAGGCTTTGGGGTTTAGGGTTACCAGGGCCTCGAACGCGACAAGACATGTTGCATATGGATGGATCTCAGCACCATTGTTGCAGGGTACTGTTTAACATGGCCACTGCTTTGTTCTTGTTGGGTTTGGGGTTTGGGGTTTGGGGTTTGGGGTTTAGGGTTTAGGGTTTAGGGTTTAGGGTTTATGAAGTATTCACAAACATGTAAACAGGTTTTCAACAATGACCCAGATCCAGGGGCAAAGCTGTCCCAAACCCTCAGCCCTGAACCCTTTTTGCAGCTGGGCTTGAGGACCAGCCAGATCCAAACCCTAAACCCTAAACCCTAAACCCTAAACCCTAAACCCTAAACCCTAAACCCTAAACCCTACACCCTTTTCTACGGCTAGGACTGCTGCACTGCCTGCCAGGGACGAAAACCATGCCATTCGAGCTCGCCCCTAAACCCTAAACCCTAAACCCTAAACCCTAAACCCTAAACCCTAAACCCTAAACCCTAAACCCTAAACCCTAAACCCTAAACCCTAAAGCCTAAACCCTAACCCTAAAGCCTAAACCCTAAAGCCATTTGAACAGTGCCCAGATACATTGTTGGCGTCGCCGAGCAGATCCGAGTCCTCTGCGTGCTGAGGCTTAGGGTTTCGGCCTTCCGGGTTTAGGGTTTAGGGCTTAGGGTTTAGGGTTTAGGGTTCAGGGTTTAGGGTTTAGGGTTTCAGACCACAGGGTTTAGGGCTCAGGTTTTGGGGCTTCAGTCAGGGTTGAAGCTCTAGGGTTTTATCGGTTTGCCCGTGTCCGTAGTGGGGGGTTAACGTGCCTCACGCGCCACCAAGCTGGTAGTACGGGTCTATACTTGTCGCACCCTGGAAACCCCTGCAATTTACAACCTTTTTGCATCCAGACCTGTGCGACTGCCGGATACTGCAAGCAGCATCCCTCCAACCCAGCACCGCTTCCAAAACAGGTTTCGGAGATGACGCCCGGGCAGTAATTCTGTCGGCCCTTGCTGTCACCTCAAAACGACCCTCACGATAGGATGACTTGCCATGCACGGCGCGTGCGCAGAGAGCGCGAACTGCAACATCCTTCGTGTTTTCGGAAGGAAGCCGACCCGTGGGGGCCCCAAGTACCCGTAGAGTAGATTCTCGAACCCAAAGGGACTCTCGAGAAACCACCTGAACCCTAGACCATGAACCCCCCCTTATCAGGTGCCTGGACCCCTTTGAGTAACTTCACGATGGGCTCAAGGCTACCTATTCGGCCGAGCTGCTGACTGACTGGTGGAGTTTGGCGGAGCTGTGAAGGATGAGAGCGTCAGCTCTCAGGGTTTCGGGGCTTCAGGAGACCGGGCGTGCTCACGCACATCCAGCGCCTCCACATGAATGGCTACACAGCCGCAAGCCATCAACGCTGTAAAGTGAGATCAGCACCGCCCTCTCTGGGTTTGCCGGGGTGTCAATTCACGGGATGCCAACTATCGTAGCCAACCTGTGACAATCATTGGAGGCATGGTTTTGACGAGGCAGGGAACGCCTGACCCACCCAAATGTTACTTCGGGCACTTGAAACCCCAATTATAAGTCTACTTATTATCTGCATAAGTGGGGTTATAAGTACCCTAAACCCTAAACCCTAAACCCTAAAGCCTAAAGCCTAAACCCTGAACCTCCAAGTGCTGTCTCATCTCCGGAGCCCAATGAGGTTAAATTGAGCAGCGCCTTGCGTGAGCACCGGCTGTTTCCGGCACTTGTTGTAGCGACACTTCCGGGGCCTTTTGTCAGCACCCGACTGCCACGTCGGCAGGGACATGGAAAGACTATCAACAATGCGCAAAAAGCTGCTCAATACGAGATTTTGCTGAACAGCCCAGTGGTCGAATCAGCTTTGGCCAGATCAATCAGGGCCCACTTGGCTTAGACTACAAATTCAACATGCATGCACATCCCTGAGGCCGATGTGAAGGTGCTTTGAGGTGCGTCGTTTTCTGGGCCATCATCATGGAAGACGGCTGAGTCGATTCCCGCGTGGGCTCGAGAAGGCCGTTTGGGCTTCAGGGCTTTTCTGAAACCATGTCGCCCTGTGCCCCATTGTGACTCTAGGACACTCATGTCCGGGCATCACTTGATTTGGGGGGCGTGCGTGTACTTGGAGAACAAAGGTCCTGCACGGTATCTGTGCATTCTTCTTGCAGAGCACATCGCCCCCCAACCAAAGAAACTCAGCAAAGAGCTTTAAAGACCTGAGCCTCCCGACTCCCAACGCAGCTCAAAAACGCGTTGCGTCTTCAGGCCACATTCAACCCGTGGCTGCGCTGTGTCAAGGCAAGAGCGTTGAAAGAAGCGTTGCTGACAACACAAGCCGAAGAGTCTCGACAATATCTCACAGTGCCCGGCCCAGTGGTCGAAGTAGCTTAGGCCAGAAGAATCAGGGCTCATTTGACTTATCGTGTCCAAGACTACACTTTGAACATCCATGAACATCCCTCAGGCTGATGTGAATGTACTTCACTGTACCTCGTTTTCTGGGCCATCATCATGCAAGACGGGTGAGTCGATTCCTGTGTGGGGCTCCAGGAACATGTTTAGGCTGTTTAGGCTGTTTAGGCTGTTTAGGGTTTAGGGTTTAGGGTTGAGGGTTTAGGGTTTAGGGTTTAGGCTTCAAGGATTTGCTGACTCAAGGACACTCATGCCCGGGCATCGGCCGATTGGGGGTTGGCACTTGGAAAACATGGTTGTGCAGGTAGTTTGGTGACTGTTTTGGAACGGAGCACACCGCAATCAATCGAAAGACACCTTGACAAAGAGTGTTAATTAAGCAAATTCGTCCTGTCATGTCCCGTCAAGATAGCTTATCCGTTCAGGCAGCGTGCCTGCACCGTGACGAGGTCGAACTTTTGGATGTTTGCTGGTCCAGCTTCACAGCGGACATCATAGCTCTAGCCTTCCGCAACCGCACGCTGTGCTTGCAACACCTGCTTCGTGTCAGCGGTCGGGCTCAGTGGAGAAAGGAATGGCTTCTGGGCCGGGTCGCGAATGCTGTGCGTGCGAGGTCCACACCATTTGTTCATGTTCGCACGCAGGCCCTGCACCGAGGATTGGACGATGTCAACTGGCTTTGAGCGCCCAGAGGAGGTGGTGAGCATGCGCTTGGCCCACGCACTCCGAAATAATTGAGCGGTCCAAGTGTGCACGAAATTCACAAAGCCGTAGCCCTTGTGTTGCTGGCTGTCGACGTCTTGTGGCAGGTAGCAAAAGTCATACAGCTGCTGGAAGCCGGAGATGTTCAACTCCTGCATGAGGTCGTTCCGCGTCATGCGCTTTGGAACACCCTTGATCATCATCGTGGTCACGTCGATGCTGAGAGTCGTCGATTGTGCCGATTGCGCAGTTGACATGCCCCCCCCCCCCTCCGGGAGGAAGGGATACCAGGGGCTTCATGCAAGGCATTGGGGGAGCGCTTGCGCAAGGATACTTTGGCCTTGACTTTCTTGGACGCATGTGGCTCCTCATGATCCTCGTCCATCGGCTCAGCCAGGCCTTGCAGAAATGGCATGCGCGCGTCACTCTCCGTGTCTTGGACTGGCGGACCCAGGGCGCTGGCGGCGGAACGCGCCTCGAACCAAGCCTCGTCGTCCGTGTCCGGCCAAGTCACCGGCGGATCTGCAGCCGGACTTTCATGTCCGAAGCTGGTGTCGCTGAAGTCGAGGTGTGTGAAGGCGGAGAAGCTGTTGGAGCGACGGAGCGTGCTTGGGGTGGGAGAAGACTCGTCACCGAAGATGAGGGACGTTCGTGGCAAAGGTGGCAGACGAGACTGCATGAAAGCACTCATGAAAGCCACGGCTGGAGACTGCTACAGGAGTTGCTCGGACGCAGTTGGCCTTGATCCTAAGAAAGAAAGAACAGTCAGGTCTCTGAAGCAGCGTCTCCGCTTTGGTCCAATATACAGGGGGGGGGGGGGCATTATGACGACAGGGGCCCTACTTACTTCGATCATCTCCACGCTACAGCAACCTGATGTGGGAACCATCCTGCCGTTTGTAGACAGGTGATTTCGGATACTTCACCGCAGGCTAAACCCTAAACCCTAAACCCTAAACCCTAAACCCTAAACCCTAAACCCTAAACATCGCGGGCTCTCCATAGGTGGGCACTTCAGAGGTACTCTGCGGGACTCTTGCGGGCTTCTCAGGGGGTGCATGGGTACTTCAAGGACAACAAGACCTTCTAACCCCTTTTCCTTCCAGGCCTCTGAAGTCTGCCGGGTACCCCTAAACCCTGAAACCCACAACCCAAATCCCAAAACCCAAGCCTAGATTTTCGAAAGTGAGATGAGAACACACAAACTTAGTGAGTCGGTTTACCTTGTTACCTAGTTGGGGGTGCCCATCAATTTTGTGTGATCCATGATTTTGCCGTGATATATGCTCACTTGACTATAAGATGCTCCCTTTTGGGGTCCGCATTATGAGGCGGCCTTTTGTGTCTGAGGAACCCTCATTTAGAGAACTGACCATATGAATATGTCAGTTGTTGACCACAGAAAGGAGCTACTGGGTATCTAGGCCCCGAAACCTTGAAAAGCCAAAACTCCTAAACCCCTATAAACCCTAAACCCTAAACCCTAAAACTCCAGCTCCAAACTCCTAAGCTCCAGACTCCTAAGCCCTAAGCCCCACGCCTTAAATCCTGAGCCCCTAAAACCCTAAACCCCGAAAATCCTAAACCCTAAACCCACTACACCTCCAAAACCCAAACCCCCTAACAACCCTAACCCCTTGACCCCTACACCCCAAACCCCTAAGTGCAGACTAAACCCTAAACCCTAAACCCTAAACCCGAAACCCCAAACCCTCAACCCTAAACCCCAAACCCCGCGCCTGGAGCTCTTGGAGCAGCTTTTGCGCGGCCTCGGCGCCGAGCCTCCTTGTTGCAAGATCCTGGCGCTAGGAGAGACTCGAGACATGGGGGCGCAAGGCCCAAAACTCTTCAGCCTAAACCCTAAACCCTAAACCCTAAATCCTAAACCCTAAACCCTAAACCCTAAACCCTGAACCCTGAACCCTAAACCCTAGGGCCCATATAATATTTCCTGACTTTTTAACGTCCTAGCTAGGTAGGGTGATTCGCGAGCGTACCAAACAGCCCGGGAATCCACAATGAAGTCTTTGAGCGCTTTCACCCTAGAATCCATCCCGCCTGCCAGTCTTCCCCCGCAAGAGCCGAACGTTTAGGGTTTGGGGTTTAGGGTTCAGGGTTTAGGATTTAGGGTTTCGGGTTTAGGGCTAGAGTTAGTGGCTCCTAAGGACCAACGTTTGCTATTGACGAGCTACCGTATGAAAGGACTCACGGAACTTTGCGGGATCCGGGATGTGAGGGAAATTGCCAGTCCAAAGTTCGGATCCCTCGCTCATGGCTACTTGCACCTGCAACCCTAAATCCTAAACCTAAACCCTAAACCCTAAACCCTAAACCCTAAACCCTTTCTAAACCGTAAACCCTAAACCCAAGACCCCAAGACCCAAAACCCAAAACCCAAAACCCGTGATCCGTGCAGAGACCCTTCACTCTCCCTCTCGCACCTCTGAGGCCCGAACTCTCATGAAAGCCGCCTACCATTAAAGGACTCATAGGGCGTTTTTCTATTTCCACTCTCTAGGGCTTAGGGTTTAGGGTTTTGTCACGAGGGTTTAGGGTTTAGGGTTTGTTTATTTCCACTTTCTTGTCACATGTTGAGACATTGCTGACGTCTTCTACAGAAATCTCCTGAAGACGTACGATTGACAAGCCGAAGAGGAAGATCAGGCCAACCACAGCTACGTGTCGCGTGGTTGGGGTAGTTTCATCGCTAAGAAAAAAGAGAGAGAGAGAGAGAGAGAGAGAGAGAGAGAGAGAGGGAGAGGGAGAGGGAGAGGGAGAGGGAGAGGGAGAGAGGGAGAGAGGGAGAGAGGGAGAGAGGGAGAGAGGGAGAGGGAAGAGGGAAGAGGGAAGAGGGAAGAGGGAAGAGGGAAGAGGGAAGAGGGAAGAGGGAAGAGGGAAGAGGGAAGAGGGAAGAGGGAAGAGGGAAGAGGGAAGAGGGAAGAGGGAAGAGGGAAGAGGGAGAGAGAACAAACGCAGGAACAGAATGCGCGCGCCAACAATATCAGCTTCTGATTGATGCGGGTTTCGAAGACAGAGCTGTTCGCAGTGGTACCTACCTGGTTCTATGCTTGTTTCGAGAGCAGAATTACTTCTCTCCCACAGCAAAGGAATCAGGGCTTGTCATCGGCTCTGGGGTTCAGGATTCAAAGCTTCCTAACGTTTAGAGTTAAACCCTAAACCCTAAACCCTAAACCCTAAACCCTAAACCCTAAACCCTAAACCCTAAACCCTAAACCCTAAACCCTACACCCTAAACCCTAAACCCTAAACCCTAAACCCTCCCTGAACCCCGAATTCTCCAAAGTGCCAGGCCTCCCGTTGGGAAGCCGAGAAGGGAGCCAGCCAAAGCTTGCGCATCTGATCCCTGGGCACCTGCAGGTGAGGGCTTTCACCCTAACCCTAACTCCAACATGATTCCACTTTAGTTTTTGTTTGGTTGAGTTTAGTTTTTTAGGCTTTAGGCTTTAGGCTTTAGGCTTTAGGCTTTAGGCTTTAGGGTTTAGGCTTTAGGCTTTAGGGTTTAGGGTTTAGGGTTTAGGGTTTTGTCCTTTTCGGTTCAAAGGGGCTTTTGCAGGGACCCAAACCCTAAAAAAGGACTCACCCCCTAAACCCTACAACCCTACCCAAAAGAATGATCATCCCCATATTGCCCTTATAAGGAAGAATGTGCTTATTTCTTAGGGGGGTTCTTAAGCAATTCATAGACATCTATGAACCATAGGGATCACCTTGATGCAGGGAATGCAGGAAGGCGTCTGGCTCGAGACCTGAAATCACTTAACTCAACCCTTGCGGGCATCCCAGCGCACCAGCTGACCTGACAAGCCTCCTACGCTTCAACCAACCCTAAGCCCTAAACCCTAAACCTCAGTAGATGCAGGATTTCGGAAGTTTGCGCTACAGACCTCCCCACACCCCTAAACCCCCGGCATCCCCAAACCCAACTCCGTAGGTCCCGCAAGATACCTAAGAGAGAAATCCAGGGGGTTCCCATGTTGCTTAACCGGGTTTGTGCGCGAGGTAACGTTGCCCAGTACAAGAAGGTGGAATAAGGGCCGAAAGCCCCAGAAGACTCCCAGAAGCACCAAAACCTCAAAACACCAATTCTTAACACCCTACAGCCTGACAAGACACCGAATATCGGGGCCTAACGGGACCATAAGAGAATGCTATTTCATCAATTTTCCGGGCCCTTTATTACACCAATCCAACAGCCTGAAACCGGCAAAACCCCCACTTTGAGTCAAGGGCACGCACAGAACCCCGAAAAAAGGGCAAAAGGATACCACTGGGCTCTCAACACCCTAAATCCTAAACCCCAAAACCTCAAACCCTAAACCCCGCACCCGAAACCCCAAACCCTAAATATTCTAAATCAAATGGGAGTCCAGCCACTCGCTTGCTGCGCTTGCGTGGCTTCCGCTGCCCATCAGGGCACCTTCGGAAGGGACTATTTGCTTAAGAACCCCCCCCCCCCCCCCTCTAAGGGTAGCTAGGGTTTAGAGTTTAGGGTTTAGGGTTTAGGTTTTAGGTTTTAGGGTTTAGGGTCTAGGGTCTAGGGTCTAGGGTTTAGGGCCCCCGAATTATCTAAAGGTAGTTTCTAGGCCCTTAATATGATTTCTTACCTCATTCAAAGGGTTCTGAAATGTGAGGCCTGGGGTTATATAGGGTATATAAGGGGCTCCCTATGAATGAAGGGCCCATACTAAGGGGCCATGTAACTAACCTAAGACCCGCGAAAACCCCCAAGAACCCGAAGCCCTAAACATTATTAGCGGTTTAGGGTTTAGGGTTTAGGGTTTAAGGTTGAGGGTTTAGGGTTCCCTAAGCCCTAAACCCTAAACAGATAATACTCCCTAGCCCTTCCAAGTGACAAAGGAGTCATTTTTGAATTGTTGTTGTTTTTTTTTTTTTTTGGGGGGGGGGGGGGGGGTGGTTCTGAAGCGAATTGTAGCAAGCCTTGGGAGTTCACGGCTTATCTGGCTTCCAGGCCCGCAATGTTAAGGGAGAGGGCTTCAGGGCTTCAGGGGGTTTTTGAGGCTTTGGGGGTTTCAGGTTCTAGAACCCCTAAACCCTAAACCCTAAACCCTAAACCCTAAACCCTAAACCCTAAACCCTAAACCCTAATTAAACCCTAATTAAACCCTAAACCCTAAACCCTAAACCGCTTCAGGGTTGCAGGGGTCGTGCCGTGGATGAGGGTGCGGGGTCTGGGGTCTAGGTTCTTTCGGGTTTGGGGTTCTGGGACTCTGGGTCT